CTGACCACCCCCAGCAGACCAGGGGGACAGGAGCAAAGCCGCCCAGGTGGCGGGAGTCCCGCTGCCTGGGCGGCTTTGCTCCGGGGCAAACGAGGAGCAGACCAGGGAGACCGGGAGAAGCTTTTCTCACCCCGGAGGACACAGGTGGCGACTCGCCGCCCGTGAGCTCCGGGGCAAGAAAAGCCCCGTTCGTAATTGCGGATCCGACATAAGTCGGATCCGTTTAAGTCGGAGACTGCCTGTATTTGGAAGTGCTCACAATATCTAGCCACACAATGTTTGACTCAGCTCTAACCGGTGTCCTAACTCCATTGATTTGTTGATGTTTTCCTCCTCCCACCATTACCACATACAGAGACACATATATACACCCAAAGTTTGAGAATAAGAAATTAATTAGGCCAAGGTCAATTATATTGTTCAAGTGATTTCCTTTGGCAGAGTCCTGTCACATACACATCCTCTCAGCTCTGTCTACTCTGAGCTGGTGGTCAGAGTAGCTCTCGCTGGTGACTATCAGGCAGTGACTAATGCTGATCTCTGCAGCTACTACATCCAGGCAGCTATTTTAGTTCGTATTTTGAGCCTCTGGCTTCTTCATTTCATGTTTGCTGTAAGTAATTTCTGCTACAGTGATTTTGCTCCTCTTCTCCTCCCCCACATCACAATAAGCACATCTGTTTTAAATATAAACATTTAATAATAATCTATGTTACGTTTCTTTGTGCAAACATGTTAAAGGGTATTAAATACAAAACAAAGCGTGATGAATCTGACTCAAGCCCTGAGACCCAGGAATTTCTATGGGGAGAACACAAAGATAGCTACCGCCTTTACTCTCTGCATTTCCCTACCTCAGTGATACCAAGTAACAGCCATTGGGTCAGATTCACCTTTACTGCGCACCAGCTTTATATGGTGTCATTCACCCTGATAGTCCATTTCTTCCACAATTACTTCATGTCAGCTCTTATGAATGGCACAAACTCTCCCCAAAATGTATTTGCCCACTTGCCTTATCCTCCTTAATACTCAGTT